TTTATTGCAGGCAGGGTGCTAGACTATCGTCATCGACACTTCAAAAGGTCTTGTCTCTATCTGTTGTCTGTGTTGACGTAACGTAATTAGTTGTGTGATATTTCCGACAGTCGGTGCTGAGTGTGCATGGCATTTTTTTCCTACGATTTCTATAATTGTATGTACACTTGGTCCTGCCACACTGTAGCCTCATTTTGTGTCACATATAGCCAAATATGGCCTTATATTTGAACACTGCCAAACTCTTCCCAACCATGGTTAGGAGTAGATTGGGAGAAAGGTTGGCGGTAGTGCTGCATCCGGATTCAAGTCCAGAGGTTTAGGTTTAGGTCCGGACTACAAAATTTCATGTTGGCAACCTTGCAATGTTGTCTGGGTGAAACTTTGGCCTCATAACATGGAGTTCGGTTCTTGACGATGCCCGATGGTAATGTTTTCTTCATTTTGCAGCAAAGATTTTGCAATCTACGGAAGGTTTTAGGTGTTTTGGAAAGAAAAGGGGTATGTGAAATGGTCTTTTATGGTAATAAGTCCAGACTTGGTTCTTGACTTTTAGTTTTTTTTGGACTTGAACCTAAACGTTCTTGCAAGTCCGGATCCAAGTCCATGCCAGTGAACCGGTATGCAACACTATAGTTGGTGTTGGTTGGCTGCCTGGTGTTTCGTCGAGGTTGGCTACTGTTCGGCTGTGCCAGTCAAATGTTTCAAAGTGTTAAAAACATTTGGGTGTGGACGGGAGGTTCGGCCATGGTTGGCTGGTCTGGTGTTCAGGATCAAGTAGGCCATGTGAGCATTGGTCAGGAACCTGGTCGAAGTCAAATTTAAATCAAACTTAATCTAAGTTGTATAGAAAGGTGGACGTGGCGTAAGTCTAGTCAAACTGCTCGTGAACGCCTGAGCCAACCTTGTTTGGTTGGTAGTTGGAGGGAATGTTCTGAATGTGTGACAGGGGCTTAATTAAGGTTGATCTCTTGTCTGTGCATCCTTCAGCATTCTAGGGACATCCTGTTTGTGACGTCAAATATGTAGATAATTCTTATGGATGCCACTGTCCCAAGGACTAACAGGTGTTTTAACATGCTTAAAAGCCTGCTATGGTAACCGTTTCGGATCAAATTTGTATTGGTTATATGGGTATAGGCAGCAGGGAGGAGGTTAAGCTACATCCTGATCCTAGCTCTGCTTGTGTCTTCTCCATTCTTCGTCTTAAGTCAAGACCTCAACTGAGCTAACCTGGAAAACCAGCCATGTTCTGCTCCCCAAGATCTGCTAGTCCCCACCAACTACAAATGGTAGTTGTTCAGGTCTTGGGGAGTGGACTAAATCTAAACTGGACTCCTTCCCAAGAAACCAATTTCTTGGAAATTAAGGATAACTAAGAGGCAGCTAGCTGTGGTTATGAGTCACGTTGGCATTTCAGAAACTAATTTCTCGTCAATTACATTAGCATTTAAAAGATAACACGTCACATTCCGTCCTCATAACTTGTGAGGTTGTCTGGCTTTGCCATCCTGTGAATCTGTCACGTTTCATTTTTGTCACATAATATTAATTTCGTGAAGTCCATTCTGTGTGTTTATTGCAATTATTATACTTTATAGACATTTGATATACAGTGTATGCCAAAAAAAAAGTAAATCGCTCATCAGAACTTTCCAAATTTTGGAGCACTATAGCACCCAACATTTCTTGTCGTGAGTTTTAATTAAAGTGGGTTTTTCACCATTCCTACGCTAGGCAAAGGCAACAGAAAGCAAGATCATAGAAACTGATTCCCAACCCCATAATAATATGCTAGCTTAAACTAAACAGGTGTTCGTGGCTTGTACTTGATTAAATGTGCGAGTAGTTACAGCTGCTAGCTGTCATAACCTCCCATAGTTGATTGTTGCCAGGCAACTACTTGTCAGGGCGTTGTTATAAAACAAGTGTATGCTTGTTCTTGAAAATTGCCTCTTGACAGATGAGAATGTATGACTGTTAAAAGAAACTATTCTGATTATCTGGAGCTGCGTCCAACTGTTTCATGTACCATAAATATTGAAATGTTCACAGTGGTTTTATTACCATGACATCATAACACCGTGAAAATTATTGTTTTTTTTTATTTCTACTGTACTACAGAATATTTTCAACCATATATTTAGATACAGTACTATACTGCAAAAACTTCCTTTTCCTTCATGCAATCATGGTACCATGCGAAATAAAAACAACTGCAAAAGTAAGTGCATTTACAGTATGCCCCTTTATTGAAGAATCAATGCATTACTACATTATACTAAGTGATTTTTACGATGTCAGCATCTGTATATAGTTTGTAGACTGCGCGTGTTTCTATTTTTCTGTTTTAGTTGAAACTATGTACATGTATTTCTGAGCAGAGACTTTATTTGGCTTTAGGTAGTCCAGAAAGAGCCAGGTGCAACTGGTTTAGATTGGTCCCATTCTAGTTTTGCCAAAAAAACCTTTCTTGATCCATTTAATCAGGGCCTAAACACCTGGTCTAAGTCACTGATATACCGACATGTGAGAAATCAACAAAGTAAAAGGTCATGTTTTCCAATCTGATTCATTCTTTGTGTGTAGAACGTTCAGAGATAAGGTTGTTTACCTTCAAGCTTCATTAAGTTGTATTTCATTCAGATCAAAGTCTACCAGTCAGTCGATTGTACCAGACATAGATAATATAGCTGTATTGGTACTGTAATGTAAAAGCGTTTCCTTATTTCTTCCATCAACTTGTCAATCTGAAGCAATAAGCTTAACTGATAAAGTTGGATATCTAGAGCTATATTGTTAATGGTGCCCAAAGCTACTGTTGTGAAACATAAGCCAGCAACACTTTGTTAGTCGGTTGCTATATGGAAAGTTAAGCCTGTGTCCTGACGCCAATTACAGTATGAAGTGATACCAATATAAATGCCACGTTGTGTCAATATGTAACTAGAAAAAGCACTCGTACCAAGCTGTATAGTTTCCTCCAAGGGATTTACAGCTTTTACATGTTTGCAATTTATTTTCTGCCAGTATCCAGTGCAATGGTCAACAAATTTAGCAACTTAGCTTCTTTACCCTAAAAGCATGTAAATCCATGATTCTTTTAAACTTTTGATTGAAACTTGAAATGTCGACATCTGTGGTGGTTTTGTTTTTGCACTGTGAGTTCACTGCGTTTCCAATGTATTATTAGTAGTAAATATTTACTGTACTACAGAATTGCTTCAAGTTCAACCGCAGACTAGAAACACACTGAAAACATATTTTCCCCTTCTATGTATACTGGGAAATGAAGTCAGTGCAAAAATGAATAAATTTACAGTAGTCCATGTTGCAAACCAACCAACAAACCAGATATGGGAGCTCCATTTGCCCAGAGTCTTTTCACAAGTTGTTTTCGTTTTACCGTGGGCAGTTTTGCTTGCTCAGGGTAAGCATTGGCTCTCTGAAGGTCGAAAGGTTAGGAGTAAAATTGGTTCTTAAATAGCCAAGATGTGCAATGTCTTGATAACAATGTGGTAAGTTATGTGTGTGGTTAAACAACGAATGTTTCTAATGAATCTTACATAAATCCAGTGAAACATTAAGTCAGATGACTTTGTTAATTTTCCTCTGCTATGTCTTAACTTTTGGTCTGTCCTTAAGGATGCTTACTTTGTCTGTCTCACTGTGAGCAACTGTTTGAAGATTGGTTAAAGTGTTACCCATATGTACACACAGTTTTATCTGTGCTAAAGTTAAGCAGATATAATGGCCTGTGCTATATCTCCAAGACCAGAAAGGGAATGGACCATTACTATGTTTACAGTTTACAACATGATTCATATCTTTGCCATAAGCTAATTACAACTACAGAAGCGGTTTAAATGATTTTATAACCTGGCCTCGTGTTTCTTTAAACCTGATAGACTTGTATATCTGCTTTAGGTTTTTGCAGCTAGTCTCTAAACATGTTTGTGTCTGCCAAAACTAAAGATATTATGCTGCTGTGCCTTCTAAAAACTTTAGTAAACATGAATCAAGGCATCTGCCAAACACATCAGTATTCCAACAAATAACTTACTGTTGTGTACCTACTATAGTATATGAATATAAATTCAAACTTGAGAATAATTTGTATGGCCATTTGCCACACAGTTTGCTTCTAATGTGTTTGGGTCAGCCATGTTCTTTCTGACAAACTGGTATTTCAATGCAAAGAATGACTTGTGTGACTTTACACTGCCCCCACCATAGCCAGCTCATTTGTGTATATTGACTTTTGTATGCTCTACTGGCAATGTTTGGAAATGGAGGAGCTTTCAGTTGGGTGATGACTTAGGAGAGAGCTGTAGCTTAGAGCTGTATACAAAGTGTACTGTAAATCCATTAACTCTTATTTCGCAGTAGAAGGTGGAGATTTTTAAGTGTCTTGAAGTCAGGGTTAAAACAATTCTGTTATGTCGCACGGTGGTACTTTTGGAAAAGGCATATTGGTACTTTTGGAAAAGGCATATTCATGACTTTACAGTGGAGTGACCCCTCAACCACGAATTCAGTATGCATTTGCATTCTGTAACTATTGTACTACGGAATGGTTTCAACCACAAACTTAACTTAAACCCCAAAACTTCCTTTTCCAGGGCTCGAAATACTGGGTGCATGTGCACCTTAGTGCACCCAAATTTGGAGCTGTGCTCCCAATTTTTTTCTGTGGGTGCACCAGTGTACCCAAATATTTTCGTAGGTATTTTAATTTGTGAAGATTAAATGTTTGCTAGTATACAGGATATTCTTCCTATAAATGTCAGAAAAATAATAAAAGCTCAGAAGAGGAGCAGTAAGACTTAGGTTTCACTTTATATGGTGCACCCAAAAAACTTTTTGTGCACCTAATTTTTTTAGGTTGGGTGCACCAGTGCACATATTCCCAAAAATGAATTTCGAGCCCTGTTTTCCAAATAAATGAATTTTCAGTAGAATAATCAATGTTGAATGTTTGCATGTGTTTCCATCTGCAGTGCTGCTCCGTGGCTCCTTGCGGCCGCCCTTGCCAGACACACCGTGGACGAGTTCCTCTCCTCGGACCTGACCCAGTATCACAAGCAACCTGAGGAGGATCAGGAAGAACAACAAGAACCTCGTAAGTTGCCTTAAAGTTTAGAACCTTAAAGTTCTTTTTGTCTACTCAAACTTGATATTCCATGAATATCTACTCCAGTTTTTCTTAACTGTTCCTCCGAACCTTTTTTCTTTCTCAAACATGTATGTTCTTTGTACACCTACTCTGAGGTAATGTTTTGGGTGTGTTTGTCTGTGTGTTTGCTTGTGTGTCTGTGGCTATTTGAAAGCAGTAGAGTGGCAGGAAGGGAGAGACTTTGTAACTGCAGTAAGGTCAAGGCTGGGAAGAACATTTAGTTACTGGGAACAACGTAACACTTGTCACAACAAGCTCTCAGTCCACATGCTATTAGTCCTAGGTAAAATTTAATTATGTTAGACCACCTCTTACTGAGTCTTAGGTTGTTCCTACAAACTCCCAGAGGATTGTAGAAATTTTCACTATTTTTCAATGCATTTTTGGTTGAAATTGAAGGATATCACAAAGTTATTTCTTTGTTTCACTTTAGAACTTGAAGCTGAGAGATTGGCCAAGGCAGCGTTCAACAGAATACGGGGGCTGTGCAATGAATGGATCAGCGATGGACTGCCTACCCTACAGCCTTGTAGGAAATCCTTGCCAGAGTCGTCCCTCTGCAGCATCAAAAACACACGCAGGAGAATGGAAGATCGCCACCTCAGGGTCCCCGACCTCAACTTTCTCTTTAACATAAAGGTAAGGCCATGCTGCTGCTATGTCATTGGTCCAACCCCTAATTACCATGCTATCATTGGTTGACCTACTAATTGTGTTGGACATTCGGTCACTACACCTTGCAATGCTTCATTGCCTTCAATGCCTCAGGACATTGATGTTGCATCATTGCAGCCACTCTCTCATTGGTCGAACTGCTGATTGCAACAGTATCATTGGTTGAACTGCTAATTGTCATAGACGATTAGTCACTAGACCTTGCAACAATGCTCTTTAGGACATTGACATTACCACATTGCAGCCTCTCTTATTGGTCAAACTGCGGATTGCCATGCTATCATTGGTGGAACTGCTAATTAAGATAGACAGCCACTGATAAAGCAACATTGTTTGTTGACCAGGACCAAGAAGAACAGTGCTTGTATGGAGTGTTTGATGGCCATGGAGGTATCGACGCTGCCAACTACACCGCCGCTCATCTTTACGTCAACATCGTCCGTCATCCCAGTTTCCATGACGATGTGGAAACTGCTCTCAGGGAATCCAACCTTGCTACAGACGCAAAGTTCTGTGAGAAGGCCAAGCGCGAGGTACTAACAAAACCATACTTTCGTATGCCTAATATTCTGAAATCTAGGAAAGTGTTTTGTTTAATGGTGAGAGCACTTGGTAAAAAGAAAAACTCCTGCACAGTCAAATTCAATCTACAGATTTGACTCTAGTTGTTGTATTGTCTTGCTTTCTTGTATTGCTTTTGATGTGTAAATCAGTGTTCTTGCCCCTCATGATGGACAAAACTTTGCCAAAACCATCATCTTTGACAGACAAATATCGGTGTAGAAAGAGATGTCATAAACTACTGGTTAGCTTAGCAAAATGCAAATAGCAAAATTTAGATGTAGAAAAAAAATTTGGGCCGACTAGAACACAAATAGACAGCATACAGGAGAATTACAATCCAATACAAAATGTGTGTTGCTCCAGCCTGTAGGGACTGAGGAGTGGGTCGACTGCGGTGATTGTACTGATCCGAGGCAGCACGCTGTACGTGTCGTGGTGCGGGGACAGCTCAGCTATGGTCATCAGGAAGGAGAGATGTGTGGAGATCATGGAGGCACACAAACCAGAGAGAGAGGTAGGCGTTTGAAAAATCTGTATCTGTATCAGTATAACCGCCCTTCGGCGTAACAAACCAGAAGAATTGTATGATACAAAAGTTGTTACATGTATCTCTGTGTATGGAGGTTATCCTTTTGGTGTATATGTTTCTGTGTTTGCTTGTGTTAATAATTATACCCCACACTGGGGTATACTGTCAAAAGTTAGGTCAAAGGTCCCAGAAAAGGTTATTTCATTTCCTGTCTTCAGTTTCCAGATGTCTTACGCCAGGTAAAAATGCACAAACAAAATGAAGAATATGAATAACACAAGAAACAGTAGCTGGGGATTCGAACCCAAAACCTTTGGACTATATTGTCAACAGCCCTAACCACAAGACTGCCTTGATATCTATAGTAATATTTCACCAACATGATTGTGTTACTTCCAGGATGAAAGGAAGAGGATAGAGGACCTTGGGGGCTGTGTTGTTCACTATGGCACATGGCGAGTCAATGGGAACTTGTCTGTGTCCAGGGCAATAGGTGAGGATGTCTTTCTTACTTTTACAGTTTGTAATGAAATTATAACTGCATTGACAAACATCTTTGTGATTTGTGTACATAAATATGTATTCCTATACCATTGTATACAACAATACATATATAAGCTCTACCTGCATGAACTCGTTTGGAGAAAGAAAAACAGAGTTCATTTGGAAAGTTTGTTAGTTCAGATTGTTACCGGTACATGGAGTTACAAGTTTAGAAATACTGTCATTGTCATTGTTTTTTTTGTGCCTACATTTGATCAAAGCTAGTCATTCATGCTATGTAACAGTGTGCTGTGTGCTCCAATGCCTGTGTTTTATCCTACTAGGAGATGCAAGCGAAAAGCCATATATCAGCGGAGAAGCAGACGTCACCAAAGTGCCTTTAGACGGCTCGGAGGAGTACGTGATCGTGGGCTGCGACGGTTTCTGGGAGCACGTCTCTCACGGTCAGGTCACGGACACCATCCAGGCCAGCGTCACAAGAACGAGGGGGGCCGCCAGCAAGTTGCCAAAGACCTTGTAGCCTTGGCCAAAGACAATGGCTCCTCTGACAACATTACCGTAATAGTGGTGAGCTTAGGGGACCAACACGACCAGGTGGATAACAATGTGGGACAGGGAGACGCAGCAAAAACAAAGGACGACGCCAATCCTGGGGCTGACGAAAACAACTCCGAAGGAGGTTCAGACACCCCCAATAGTTCCAGTAGCGATGCAACTGGCTCGAATTTCACGGGCGTGTCTGGAGGGCCCCCGCCGGGAACGTACAGTGCTAACTACTCCGGGTCCTGCTTCAGTGGCCGCTTTTTTCCGCAGTCCCATCTACGAGTAAAGAAGCCTTTAAAAAAGACTTCTTCGCTACCGTTATGCAGTGGAAAGAGGCCTTTGCACAAGACTTCTTCGCTGCCGTTGTCTGGAGGGGTGTCGAAAGTGAGAAAGCTTGTCGGAGAGAGGGAGGTTGTTACGTACTTGAATGTTCTGGAGGGCAAGGAGATCCGGTTGGTCGGGAAACCGTCTGGAGAGCGCAGCGTTAAGAAAAGCCAAGTGTCTCCCTTGTCGCTCAGCCCTGTTCTTGCGGAGGGGTCCGTCAGCCACCAGTTTCCCCACACGGTCAGACTCAGTCCGAGTTTCCAGCGCAAGCAACAGGCTAACCAAGCTAGCCTGGTCCCAGTCAAGAGGTCCAGTAGCTCCCCCTTGTCGCTACCTCCGGTACTGCAGCCAACACACCCTCCCCTCATCATGGAGGATCGGCTGGATATTCCACGGGCAAGTCTTTCCTTCCCCCCGCCTAGGGTGGACATGGACTTTAAAGGAAAATTCATGGACTTTTTCCTGAGGAGAAAAACAGGGTGAAGCCACTACCATCTGTGTGAACTTACAGATATGAAGCGAAAACATTTTCGTCTGTTTCTGGAAACAAACTAAAAACTGGAAAAAAGAAAATCTGGCTACAGAGTAACTTAAATCTCCCCATCCTTCCTATTCCACATACCCGTATATTTATATTTTGTAATAGTTAGTGAACATTTTGCCCACCTTTTGCCACAAACTATATCTTCCGTTGCACACATTTCAAACTACTACTGGTAGTACATAATACAAAGAAAGTTGATTATCACCTAAGTTTCCTTTTGCACATTGTGTTTTTCTAACAAAATCGAACCAAATTAGTAGTTCTTGCAGTCAAAGTGGTTGTTGTACTCTTTAGAATGCCAACAATCCAAGGGATGTAACTTGAGTAACTAAAAATTTGCCATGCCAATAAAATTGCACTTTGATGAGCCACATCTGCGGTTCAGGGATTTTGCAGGTCTTGCAATACTTTTCACTTGCCACAACGTCCACAGCTGTGCTTATATAAGTTCACATAGGAGCTCCAGCTGTCTTTGGTGCAATCCTATCTGTGCCTTTAACTCGATGCATGTTACAGTCCTACCTCCAAACAATTCCGTCATTTATTTATATCTAAACAGCTGAAAATGTGGATTTCCAGTAGATGTGGGGAAGGTTAAAACGCACCCAAATGCCACTTCAATCCAGTAATACTGGATTTTCAATACCATTTTGATACCATATTTTGTCTATACTGTAGTTGAACCAAGTACAGATGCACAAATTGTCACTAGATCTAAATCCGTCTGTCGTTTTTGCATCAATTTACAGTTGGTTGAAAAATACCATTGTTACATGTAGGTGTGCGCTTGTAATTTTCAAACATTTCAATCCTTTCAATGCTCTTTTGTCCTGGTTACAAGATACGTAGCAGCAAAATGGTTTGCTGTATGCACCAGGTGTTCATAAATAGTATAAAATCCAACTTTGAAAAAGAATTACTTTGTGGATCATGAACAAACAACAACAAGATGATAGAATGTACCCACGAAAAGCAATAAAATATGAGCCTAGCTTTTGAGCTGTTTCAGAGGACTGTAAGGTTTACAGATGGACACTGTAAGTCACATGGTTGGATGGCCAAAGGGCCAATAATATAACAGCATCTCATATGAAATGTCATAGTATTGTTTGTGTTGTATTTTGATTTGGAAAAGTGCATGTATATAGATGTACCGTTATTTGTGTCTTGATTTAAGTGTGTCATTGGACTTTGGGTGAAAATACATGTACAATGTATATGATATACACTGTATTGTTTACACACGTACATGTTGATTTTTTTCATACATGGCAATTGTGGGGACATTGGGGTTTATATACATTATAAAAAAAATGCACATTTATTTCTGTTGTCATTATTTAACTACAACATGCAGTGCAGTTTTGTGATCTTGTGCAAGAAAGTGTGGACTGGAATTTTGCATGCAATATTTTCTAGGGTTTTGTAAACTATATGTTATTGATAAACCAAAGCAAATAAAAAGCTATGACCAAAGATGGTGTTATAGCTTTCCTGTCAGGAATAACTGGTGTAAGTTTGGTCCCCCTTGCAGCTTGTTCTGGAACTGCAGGGGACTTTCTGGCGAAATCTTTAAAAGCCAATAAGTCCAGATAGGAACAATGTATTTTCATAATATTTGGTGTGTAGGTAGCTGAGATAGAGTTGTACATAATAAAATGCAAATTATGCAAATGAGAACTTAATTTGCATCATTAAGGAGGAAATTCTATAATTACAGTGTTTTATATAATAGTTCTTGCAATCTATTTAATCTGTGGCAGGAGGAACATCAACAGATAACAATTATGCTAATGATGACCTAATTTGCATAATTAATGTGAAGATTCTGTGACTCATTGGTGAATGATGGGAATTTTATACCTCGTGACATGTGTAAGATTAACACCACTATACATATATTATGTTAATGTAGACGTCATTTGCATAATTAATGAGGACATGTTGAAATGAAGTATGACAAAGCAAGCCCATATTTCATGCAGGTATGAGATCTCGGAACTCTTGTTCAGCCTGCAAAGGAGTCTGGTGGAGACTATCAACACATCAACTTCAGTGCACAGAATTGGCCTTTTAAATTTAATTATATTGATCATGAGCTAACTCATTAAAAAAATTTCGGCTGGTTTGATACATGTAGTTAAACAAAGAAGCAAACAAAAAACACGTCGTATGTGATACCTTATTAGAAGTACAGTATTGGTTCATTTACAGCGGATACACTTATTTTAGTTTTTCGTCATTACTGTTGAGATTAGGACGCTATATTCAGTTTTATATATGACTATGAATGAATGAATGAATGGTTTATTCAGACTGAAACTCTCTCACAGCCTACTGGCTGATATCCTTCATTAATAATATAAAACAAATCATTTACCTGTTTAAAAGCAATTGTATCACGGCCTCAAATTTCATGTGTCAGTTACACATAATTAACAATGACTTTTAATTATCTGTACGGATTGATATAAGTGACGATTTGATTAAACAATTGAATATCTGCAGCGGTACCACAGAAGCTTTTATTCGCTGGTATTTTTTGTTTGTTTGTTTATTTATTTAACCAGGATATACATGTCGCCTATTGGCGGTTTTCAAAGATTCCTGGGGGGATAACCCCAACAAAACTACATGACATTAAAGTTATAACAAAAAGATTAAAGATGAACTAACAAAGGTCAACTATAAAATAGATAAACTTATCGCGAACAAGACGAAATCGTAACTAAGTCATCAACAATCAAATGAAATAAGGTAACAAAGAAGTAACTAGAGAGGCCGACATTTGCTTGGGAGCAAATACAGCATATTTCAGTCCATCTCCCTCCCATGCAAAAGTGGACTATTCCAAACTCACCCCAGTGTAAAACTGGCAAAGATTCTCAAATAAATGAATTATATGCAGTAGTAGTAGTAGGTATGTAATTGAGAACAAAGATGCAAGATCAAGCACATTGAATCTCGAAAGCTTTACTAGTCTTATTACAGGTATGCAAATACTAACAATGATGAGATTTGATACATTTTGAAGGTCTTAGGCACATAAAATTGAATGTGTGGGTCATTCCGCATGACTTACGTGCAATGTGACCTCAGGTAACCCGCAATGGAACACGTGTTCCATGGATGGAACCGGCCATTCTTTAGATAGAACATGGAACGGGTACAGCACTTTTGGCCCTTTTTTTGCTGAAAATAGCCATTAAGGTCCTCCAAATGAGTCATTTGGAAGTGGTGTATGCTATTCTGTAGACACATGTTCAAGGTACCCTTATAACGAATTTCAGATCATTTGGTTGTAAAACCAGGGCTCAGGATCCAAAAATCCATTTTTTGGCGAAAAATGCCCCAAAAAACCTTCATAAAAATTTTTCAAAGGCATGTATCAAAAAAATGAAAAAAACGCCTGGGGGTATTGGCCCACTCTACCTCCATGCCAAATTTCAAGTCATTTGGCTGAATGATGGCGTAGTTGAATCCCTTTGACTGTTTGGCAGGAGGAGGAGGATAAGGAGGAGAAGGAGGAGAAGAAGAAACATCAGAGAACACAATATATTTTATCCATACCATGGTATGGACTGAAATATAATAATAATCGTTCAGATATCAAATCATAATGGTAAATAATCAAAAGGTATGTCAACTTAAAAGTAAATAACTAAAAGTGGAGTTTGCATATCAATGGAAAGAAATGTAAATAATCAAATCAAAGAGACATGGAAAGTCAAATAATTAAGGAACCTTGCTATAACCATTAGGAATAGTTATAGCAATGTTTCCCTTTCCAAAAGATCCCATCTTTCCGGAGTGGCGTCACAACCCTTCCCCTGATCTGCCGTACTTCCCGGTGTGTTGTCCCCCGGGTTGTTCTTGTTGTTGCGCGTTTTCCGGCACTCCACCGCCCCGTACCCCGCCACTCCCAGCGCCAGCAGGGCCGCGTAGATGTACAGTTTGACGTCCATGCACAGACCTGATGTTGAAGGCATCCAGTGCAGTTTTTAGGGCTTGTAAACCCGATTTTCAAAGTCAATATTTTAGTCACTTATCTACCCACTGAGTTGAAACCACACTAGTATCCCAATGTATATTGACCCTCGACATGGATAAAAAATTCTGACGGAAAATTGTTACTGGAAGAGCCATATATTGGCTGATTTGTAGGGCACCAATCAGAAAAGGATTCATCTTGGGGCTTGTTTCTGCAGTTTAAAACTATGAAATAGTTTGGATATTTACAACTGCAGAAACAAGCCCCAAGATGAATCCTACTAATTGAAATGTGCTAATGTGAAGCAGTATGTGCCAATATCACAAAGATTGCCTTATTACCTTCGCCAAGAAGGTTATGTTTTCAGTAGCGTTTGTCCGGCTGTCTGTCTGTCTGTCTGTCTGTGAACAGCATAACTCAAGAAGCTTAGTATGCATTGTCATGAAACTTGGTAGGTGGGTAGGTCTTGATAAGACCTAGAAATGATTAGATTTTGGGCCCCCTGGCGGCTTTTGTTGGTACTGCAGCAGAACTTCCGGTTTTGATATCTCGCAATCTGGACATGTCAGGGTCACGAATTTTGGTTGGTAGATAGCTCTTGGGGTAGGGAAGAAGGGACATAAGTTTGGCCCCCCTAGCGCCTTGTTCTGGAACTGCAGGAGCATTTGTTGAAAATTTTTCGAAGGATGATAACTCAAGAACCGGTGGACGGATTGTCATGATTTTTGGTATGTAGGTAGCTGAAGTGATGCTTGACACGATCAAATGATAATTATGCAAATCAGGAGCTAATTTGCATAATTAATGAGGAAATTCTATAAATCTGCTTCGTTCGATAATAGGACTATGAAACACGTGTGACATGTAATAGAGAACGAAAAAAAACATCTGAGGATATAGATTATGTAAATGACCTAATTTGCATAATTGATGGGAATATTTTATAATTTCATAGTTGTAACTTCTGGGAATTTCATACTTGCCACATTTGGAAGTTAAGTGAAGGCGAACATCAATAAACATAATTTATTCAAATCATGATCTCATTTGCATAATTTATGAGAAAGTGCTATAATAGCCTTTTTGTGAAGATAAGGTTGTCATTGGGTGGAAAATATGATCAACTGATGTAATCCATGCTAATGAGGCTCTTATTTTCAAAATCAATGATTAAAATTGTATGATTCTTCAACCGCAAGGGTTAACATCATTTGGCGAAGGTATGAGATCGTGGAACTCTTGTTCAAAATGTTTCCAGTTTTGCTGCCCCGAAATCGCATTGGATGCCTTTTTTAAGGTTACAATATTGTTTCTCTTATCTTAGTAGTATGATTTTGTATCAAATATGTTATTTAAGTTTGATTTTGTATCAATTTGTAATCTGAGTAACTTTATTTGATGCCATTGTTACTTTTGCGTTGATTTGGTTCTTAATTGCTTTTGTTTGCCCCCCCCCCCAGGAGTAATTGAAAAACGCCATCAGGGGATACGTATGCATTTCTTGGATAGACAAAACAAACAAAACAAAACAAAAAACAAGACCTGAGCTGTAGGCGAATACCAGCATGTTGCCGACACTCTGCGTCATTTTGGCGTTGGCGAAGACGGCTTCCTGGTTACTAGGGAATGTGGTTCCGAGAACAGCTGGAAGTAAAGAAAGATATTTCGTGGTCTTGCGAGACCGAGGAAATGCCTACTATATACACGTACCCGACTATTTCCTGAGTGGGGTGTAGGAGGCTATATACATCAGGGACCATCACCCTTCACTGAACCGCGACGGGGGCCGACATCGTCTACAAGATACCTTTTTAGACGTCACACTTCAAAGTAGCCACGGGACAAGCCTCACTGGGTCAGTCTACTGAGGAAGACCAGGGTGACTGGTCGGAAGCTCTAGGTGAGAGAACTTTTTTTGTGTTGGATCAAAAGTTTTAACTCTAAACATGTAACTACCAACACAGATGAACTTTAATGATAATACTAGTATATACGTACCGTACAGTTGAGTGTGCCAGCCAGCAATCACCACGCCCCATCCTCCCGACACCGACAGGATCCTGGCCAGGGAGTCCCCATCCGGTTGCCATAGCAACATGTAAATGAGCAAGACTGCTATGACCACCACAGCGGCGAGGATGATGGTCCTGGTGCCGGCGTACTTACTCAGGTGACCCAGCAGGGGGGAGAACACACTACTGGTGACGCTGAAGCACAGCATGACGTAACCCACCATCTGTACACCCAGGACACAGCTCACGTAAGACTGCAACAATGACGTCACCATCAGTAGCACGTTGGATCATGATTGAAACACAAAAGATCAGGGGTGCCAAAGAATTTATCAGGATTTTACAGAATTCATACGATCCTTACTAGGAAACATGCGAAGTTTACGGAATAAATGCGATCCATAACTAGAAACATACGAAGTTTACGGAATACATACAATCCTTACCAAGGACATTCAAGACGGCGGACTATTATAGGGCTGTTATCTCTACAATGTCTTGGTTTCAAAGAATTTTAAGGGCTTATCCTGCCCTGCTAAACCCCAAACTGCACTTATACGGAATTCTTTCACGACATAGTAGCCTGTATTTTAAACCAAATAGCAGGGCGAGGCTAGGCAACGGCAAGTCACCAAATGACCCCAAATTAGTAAGGATCGTATGTTTCCGCGTAATGGATCGTATGTATTCCGTAAACTTCGTATGTTTCTAGTAATGGATCGCGTGTATTCTGTAAACTTCGTATTTTCCTATATATTAAGGATCTATGTATTCCGTAAAATTCTAATAAATTCTTTGGCACCCCTGAAGATGATACTAGCTCTCTTTGTGCTTTGCCCCATTTCTTGCGTCTCATGATGTGTCCGTAAGGCTACGGGTCCAAAGGGTTGGTTCACTCAGGCTCATCTATTGTTTCAATCATGATAAAAGTTCATCATCCAACACAAGAACATTGCAATTGCAAGTGTATAGAATTTCGGACACGCCTATGCTATTACCTTCTTCGGACTGATTGAACCAACCCTTTGGACCTAACGAACACATGACTCAAAAAATGGGGCAAAGCACAAAGAGAGCTGCATATATGTAGAAGTTTGAAGGAAGTTCTAAATTATGGTCAATGAATCCTACATTACCCAGCGTTTTCCAAATTTCCTAGCCTGGTTTCCAAACCTACATTAGCTGCCGAGTCTCTTTCGTCCTCTCCGGAAACTCGGTTGGTAAACCAGGCTAGCATGCGAAGCCGAGATCTGTATCTGTACAGCAGGTATAACCGCCCCTCGGCGTACTACATGTAGTAACACACCAGTTTCGCAGGCACGCGGCGCAGCGGCAGCTGGCTACATTACACCGATCGACTTGTTACACCTAACCCTTGAACATCTAACTCTAAACATTGTTTAAAGCTATCTAATGACAATGCCCCTACTGTACTTGACAGCGAGTTCCACTCTGCGATACTTCTAGGAAAGAATGAGTTTTTAACACCTCAATCATTGGTTGATAACTCTGGTACTTGAAGGCATGACTATTTCTTGTTCTTTTCTGAGCTGGTATTAGATACCTTGGTGATCTCTCCTGCTACGATGGACTCGGACATCCCGATGGTGACCAGTAGAGGCATCAGGAGTACATAGTCGACAATCTTCAACACGCGCACTGTACGGAGCAGGAGTTGGGACACCGTAGGGACAGTCTCAGTGGACGCCAGCTCCATGTTTTTGACATCCTTGTCGAGACAAAGTACTGCGATTAACACCGCTAAGATGTTGCACGCGAGGAAGACCCCGAAAAGTGTGTAGATGATCGCCTGTTGGTTGTTATTGTCGTCTGGAAGTCCGACGGAGGAATTGTGAGACGTGCTAGAGTTTCTAGTGACGTAATGAGTAGTCCAGTTGGTTTCAGGACGAATCCCACAATCCATCGCGCCGCAGAACTCTAGTTCTCCCTTCCCGATGTCCCGTCTCCCCGCAGAGAGCACCAAAGAAGATATAAGATTGCCGCTAACCCCAGCAAATCCGAACATAAAATAGAACACGCCGTTAAACTTGGCAATGTCACCCTCCGGGCTGTCGTGTTTTAACAGTTTGGCGTATTCCTGAGCAGAGCGGGTCAAATATGTGAGCTGTGCCGTCCAAAGCGGACCCGAAATAGCCCCGAGCAAAACTGAAGACGGTATCAGGGTGTACCAGGATGGGTAGAAATTGGATCCTGTGTATAAAATGTGTCCGAATAAACAAACCACGACGGTCCACTTGCACGAGCCGACTTTGTGGAGGAAAATCGGCACGTACAGACACGACAGGACCATACAGGCGTACACACAGCTCAGGGAGACCACGCCGAGGCCGGCCGCGCTGTTCAGCGTGCTCTGCAGGTTCTGTATGGCGCGAAACGCCGTGAAGTTCACCAGGAACACCACGGCTATCACTATTAGGTTCTTCCATATCCGCCTGGTAGATGACACGTACAGCTGTGTACTTTGTGTCACCTCTCCTTCTGTTGACGTCCCTTTCCTACTACGGGCTTCTTGCTCCATACTTTCGCCTCGACCTTGACCCTTCATTGGTAGTGACGTAACGAGGATTTGATAGTCCTCCTCTGGGAATATGTAAGTTGCTTCTTTAGCACTCTGTCGTCTGGCTTTATGCCTTTTAATAGCGCGGGTCTGTACAGAGTTCGAACTGCAGCGCAGCCGGACTTAATCGTTTATACACGTCAGGATCGAGCAACAAGTGTAAGAATGTTACAATCGCGCCATTATGCGGCAATGATGTTTATTGCACTTACCACCTGTATAGTACGGGTAGTAGTCATTACATGTTTTATCACCTTCGCCAAGGTTATGTTTTCGTAGGCGTTCGTGTATGTGTGTGTGTGTGTGTGTGTTTGTGTGTGTGTGTGTGTGTAAACACGATAACTTGAGTAGATTGACTTGATATTTTGTAGGTGGGTAGGTCTTCATGACACCTGGAAATGATTAGATTTTGGGCCTCCTAGTAGCTTCCTATGGTACTGCAGCTGAACTTCCGGTTTTGATATCTCATGACCTACACATGCTAGGGTCACAAAATTTAGATGATTGGTAGCTCTTGTGCTGGGAAAGAAAAGAGGATAACTCAAGAACCGGTTGACGATCGTCATGAATTTTGGAATGTAGGTAGCTTAAGTGATGCCTGACACAATCATGTGAAACTATGAAAATATGGATGTAATTAGCATAATTTAGGAGGAAATTCTATAAATCAGTTGCATTACATGATAGGAATATCTGACCTTGTGGCATATGTAATTGATAACGAAAGAAACACAGGCAGATATTGATTTTGTAAATTGGATTTTCAATGTTTAGGGTATTTGAAAGTTAGGTGAAGGTGAACATCATTAAACATAACGTATTCAAACAAGGACCTTATTTGCATAATTTGGAGGAAATGCTAGAATGGCAGGCATTCTTTGTTAAGATAAGACTGTCTTTTGGTGGAGAATTAATCAACTGATATAATTCACGGAAATGATACCCCGTACAGGGGTTGTTCGAGGGTATTCAAAAAGAAGAAGAGGAAGGAGAAGAAATGAGGATCCTATTTGGTCATAAAGATTACATCATTTGGCGAAGGTTTGAGATCCTGGAACTCTAGTTGTTCATGTATTTTCAGGAAATATTTGATTTTTTTAATGATTCATCCTACTGTAACTCTTTAAGAGCTCAAGGACCTTTTAGTGTTCAATAGAAAAGTAGAACACTAAATTTTATAATGGGAAATGAATGGTTTCCAATTCTGAGAGTTATCCTCAGAATGCCACGAAACTAGCCTGACTAAATCTGCGCTCCTAGCGGCCGGCCCGGAAAAACACCAGGCTACCACGAAACGAAATGGCCGCGGGGTGACGAGAAACAAGTGACTGCCTCTGCTTTGCCTCATTATGTATTCAAGCTCCGCGGAGCTCATTCTGACACCCCCTGTGCCTCGTGTAGCCTCTACCAGGACCAGGACGCGCCGTGGTCTGAGAGAGAATATCGAGGGTTTCTCTTCATCTTTCGTCCTGTTTTAGCGTACTTTTGTCGGGATTCCATCCTCTTGACAACTCAGGTACGTACAAACAGCTTGTTTACTCCACAGTTATCGCTGTGACAAGAGAAATGACACCTACAACTT